CATTGTTGGTTTTTTAGCACAAATAATTGGAATGAGAAATGAACAAATGAGAAAGCGTGCAGAAATAAGAAAGAATATAATACAGGAGGTGGTGAATCTCTCTGATTGAAGAGAGCAAAATGAAAATAAATCCTGCAAAATCCTGCAGCAGGAATTTGCAGCTTGTATCAGGAAGCTGATAACCCCCCCCCCAGATGGTTTGGGGTCCAGTTAATGTTTGTGCCACATTGTGCCTGCTTTAAGTTCCTTCAATGGCAGTAATGGACTAACCAACAGAGGGCTGCTATCATACTGTATATGCGCAGAGTGTGTAACAATTATAGCAAAGCAGAAGCTAAAATATAATGAAATGTAAGAGAAACACTAAAATGATCAAATGCAGAATGGTCTACAGACACAGCACTGACAGATTTACCATGAACCATCAAAGGTTCTCATCTTGCTCGTGCAGAGTGACGCCTGTGCTTTCATGACATTTAGAATGATTTCATTGTCTTCTTGATCCACTGTAGTTGTCCCTCTGAGACAAACGAGTAGACTCCAGGTTTTTTAATGACACCACAACCCCGTCCAAAAGAAGTGACTCCAACCAGCTTTCCATCGCACAACAGCGGCCCTCCTGAATCCCCCTGCAGCAAGAACAAACACATGACAGTGTCTCAGGTGTTGAGCTGAATGCAAGGAAACAAGGAAAAATACATGTATTCTTCATACGTACCTGACAGGTATCAGCGACGTTTGTACCATTTGAACCAGCACATATCATGTCATCAGTGATAACAGGGTCGTGGTTGTAATAATCACCAGAGTTGCACTTCTGCCTGCCGACCACAGTCACATTGACAGACATGAGGACGTCTGATGGTCGTTTTGTTTCGGTTCGTCCCCATCCAGCCACCAGACACGTGCTGCCAGCTGCCGGGTCTCTCACAGTGTTGCCAAACTTGAGCCACTTCACTGCCCTGGTCCGAGTCACTGGTTCCTGAAGCTAAAAAAAGAAACACTGAGTGACACTGATGTAGTAACTTTACAGAGTTGGTCTTTAAGCTAATATTTATGCAGCACTGTGCTAAAGTCTTGAACCGTCATTTATTTGCATGTTTTACTTTGAAAATGGGAAATATGTGCAGTATTATTGAAACGTAGACATACACAGACATACGTCATGTAAGGTAAAAACAAATGCATTAATCCTGTTGCATTTTTACTTGACTTGTTTTTGGGCATTAGTTTACCACCTTACCTTCACCAACATGAGGTCGTTGCCCTTGGTTACAT